GGCTTATACGCAAACACATGAAGTTAAAATATCTGCAATGATAAACGAGCAGTACAGAAAATCAGTCTGATATCAACCTGAAGATACGAAGCACACACACACACACACACACACTCACACACACACACACACACACACACACACGCACATGAACGATTATTTTAAAGAAGACACATATTAGCGATGTTAAGACATAAAATATTGATTGATCGATTGAAAGTTTCGAGTTCAAGGTTTTTAAAGAGACTTTATCACCCTTAACTGCATCAACTACTCCGCTGCAGGAGCTGATCAGCTTTCAGCCCCACGAGGCTGTGGACAGCTCCTGTCGCACGCGCAGCTTCTCTCACACTTTCCCCACCTTCAGTTTGATCACGTGTCACCATGGAAACAACATGTTTATATGAACATTTATAAAAAACAACATCTTAATGTAACGAGACTAAAATATGACGATCCAATGTGCTGAGATGGAATCAGGTCCAGAGTCTTTTAAATTTAGCATGAGACTCTAGCACCATCTTGTGGTGAATATTAAGAAGTACAGACAAACACCCATGAAAATCATCAAGTAGTTTAACGCAGTAATAGCTCCCTCTTACTCACCATTAGAATAAGTGTCAATTAAGGTTTTCGCAGCTTTAACAGTTAACACACTTTTCATTTTTCTTTTTTCAATTTTAGTTCTCTTCTCTGGCAAGACTTTATTTTGAGCAACATAAATATACATAAATGTATGAAAATCAATGAAGATACGGTGAAACCACACACAAAATAAAAAATAAAAATTGGGTCCATATCAGGATTCATTATTTCTTTGACAAATAATCAACAGTAGCACTCAAAATTATTATTTGTCACGTAAGAATACATACTAGGGAAATAGAAATGTATTAAATGTTGCTATACTGCCTGTAAATGCTAAATAAGAAGTTGTTACATGTTCAATTGTAAAAGGCCTTTTTATTTATGTTAGACTGTTCTACTGTTCTATCTTTGCCACTAGAGGGCAATGAAGACCTGCATATAATAACAAATGTGTAATTTATGATCTAAATCCAAAATCAAGTGTTGCATCACTACGATTGAGGCAGCAACCAAGTAAATATGTTATTTCAACACTCAAGGAACAATTGATTCCACAAATAAGCTCACACATACACACACATTTAAAACTATCCCAAAATAAAAGCATTAGAGTGAGTTACAGTGGCCTGTACAAGAACATATTACACTACACACTGAACTGAAAAAAGTGAGCACACTGGTCAAACACCAGAAAGAGACACATCATCATTCTTTGACATCATCGTTTTGAAAACATGACTTTCCAGGATAAATATATACTCAAATATTATTTACAATACCTGTATTAAAAAAAAAAAGTAAAGTTTGGACGTTTAGCGTCTTATTGAACAGGACCTATTAAATATATATCACTTGCAAAAGATATTCTCAATCTCAACGGGATCTTCCTGATTAAATAAAAATTAAATAATTAAAATACCTACTGATTTTATAATAACTACATCTAATTTCCAAACTATATGTGACAATATATCTTGATATATCTCGTCCATGATGATGATGATGATTATGTAAAGCAATAGATTGGATGAAGCAGACGAGGGGTTTCCAGTTTGTTCAGTGGATGATTTGATGCAGAAAAGACAGGGGGATTAACACCACACTGGAAATAACTGCCCAATTTCACTAATGAGAGCAGCTCAGCACAGCAGCAGCTGTTAGATAAAGACTGTTCATATCACAGCTCTACACCACACACCCTGCTACAGCTTCTTGTCTCTTTAATAACACAGATTTCACACTGGTGACGGTGCAGAGATGTGAACACGAGGATGATCTCTATACAAAGTCATTCTAGTAACTTGGCCTCAGCAGTAATCTTTTAAAGATGATTTCAGGATCAATCTGTACGTCACGGCTTTGACCCAGCTGGTGTTGTGAAGACAGGATTCTGGTTCCTGAACAGACACGTTAGTATTATGTAAGATCTTTGTTTTGATCATGTGACCCGTCTCCTTCCTGTCATCTAATCTGACCTATGGACTCCAACGTGTCATGTTTAAAAAGCTCTCACACTCACCTCTGACCTGACCTGTATTTTGCATCATGTTGAGTTTACGCAACCAGTGTTTTCCCTACATGACCTTTGTGATTCAACTTCAGTAAAGTCAGTTTATTTAGTTTTCTTTCCCGCACTGTAGCTCAGCAGCTGTCATGTGCACTTAAACAGATCATCAGCCGCTGGAACATAAAGTGCTTTTCAACCATAATCCTCTTTTTTTTTAATAACGTCCCAATGTATTTGAATTCTTGTATCAAAATCTATATATAATAAACAATATAATAAATAATATAATAAACAATATCAGTATCAATATCATTTATTTTAGATTTTAAGATGATTGAAAATGTAAAATAAATTAGAATTTTCTTTCAATTATTATTTTGCATTGTTTTGGAAATTAAAACTATAGGATGTTCTTCAGAGCTGTAGATGTCAGTATATTTGTCATAACCTATGATTTTTAATTTTAGATTTTAAAGGCAGAAACAAATTGTAAATAGAATATTTGTTAAGGCTCACGCATCTTTCAATAGCTTGAAATTTGATTGATTTGGACATAAATTAAATTAAATGACAGGATTTATTATCTTTATTGCAAAAGATAATTTAAATGCTACAATTCTGCCAGTGCATAGAAGACTGGGGAGATATAATCTACATAAAATACTGCACTTTGTAGTTTAATTCTATTAAAACAAAATGTTCTTTTAAACAGATTTTAGATATTTGTTGTCTATCAAACATTTCTTGGTGTGTTGGGGAAACTAACAACCTCAGTAATTCAACATTTCTGGCTACGTCCCCGGTGTCGTTGACTTCTTAAGGTCAAAATCTGACTCTGATTAACTGAATCTCTCTGAACATGTCACATATCTGCACTCATGTGTGTTGCTGCTGTTTTTGCTGCGTCAGGACAGATGTTTTCCTCTGTCTCTTCTTTTTTTTATTTTATTTTGTTTACACCATCTGTCTGTGACCGTAGCATCACATTCACCCCACAGCTGGGGACACCTTCACCTCCCCCTGTGGCTGGATGCTGATCCAAATCCTGACTCCGCCAAATGAAAACCGTCAGATCTAGTTATTTGTACAATGGTTTGAAAGGAAGCTCAACGAGGCTAAAACCGTCAGTGACAAGTCGTCCTGCTTCATTCCTGTGAGCCTGATGCTATTACTGCTGCTTCTATCTGCTGCTCGGACTGAATTAGATCACTGGCCACCACACTGTCTTCTAATCGTCCGTCAGTCAAAGAGACGACTGCTTCCAAGAAACTGATGCTAATCTGTTGGATTTCCAGACGTTCCTGAGAAAAACCCAGATCAGCCCAAAGTGTGGAGTGTATGAGGAAGTACATGATTATGTTCAGCCTGCTAATAACACGGAAGAGTCGGCTGCTTAACCTGAGGTCACTTTCTGATTATTTATAATCTATAGCAACTTCAAGCATTTTTCAACAAAGACTGATACACACAACATATAAAGAGAGAACCTGAATGTGGGTTTTCTTTGTAGTGTAACAAGAATACAAGTCTTGTTGTCGTGAGGATGTACAGAAGTTATCTGAATGGAAAGGCCCAACAGTCCCCTTATGAAACCACATTTAAATTCAACAGATTTTAATCTGGATCTGCACCAAATCACACACGCTCGCAATTATCAGTCCCATGCCTGGTTTCTTTGATCAAGACCCAAAAATGTTGGAAAATCTTTCAGTGTTGAAGGAAACTCCCTGATCTGGATCCACTCCAAACTTTAATGGGTTCTTTGTTGGGTCACGTCTCATTGTCTCATTACCAGAGAACTTGGTAGAAAGGATGCAGTATGGTTCATTATAAAATAAAAGAAAGAGAATCTTTTGACATTTTTGCCAACTTCCCAGAGAATAAAATATTATTTAACTGATAGTTACAGATTTGGAGCAGTTTATTGGATTCAAGGACACTGTTGGGCCTTGGCACAGGACTGTTCTCTACAAGCTGCTGACCTCGAGACTTACAGACGTTACTCTTCTAACTAAAGTCCTGCGGGACTATTTCAGGGACCAAATTTCATCAGCACTGACGAGCAACCACTGACGGTGAGAGGATTTCACCTGCTGATGACTGCTTGGCAAGAACGTCAGTCACCTCGGAGGTTAGTGTGACAAACTTGGTCTCACTCTGACTTATTTCTGGAGTGCACGTATTTAGCAGCTCAGCGATCAGGGAGCTGCAGGAGTCTGTGTCACTCTGAGGCCTCGTCAACACTTTAACACCGGACATAGCAGACAAGCAAAATACCATATTGAGGAAAGACAAAAGGAAATGTGAACAAATGTATATTTTAATGCTGGTATTATTCATGTGGCTGCATGTGACACCGTAAACATGAATTTAATTCCTTAAATTTCTCCCTGCACAACCTCTCATTCATTCAATCTGTCACCTCCCTGCCAACAAACACATCTTTATTTAGATCTTGCAGGTTTCTGCACAGAGAGTCTGAACTTTCTCTGACCTGATTATCTATTTTGTTTATGAACTCAGCTCAATGAAAAAGTGAATGAAAAAGGGGAATGTGAACAGGAATCCTCCAACAAATTTAGCTAAAGGTTAAATGTTTAAACTAAATATCAGCCGAGGTTACTATCAGAGATTTCAATAATCAGCTAAAGGTGATTACGTTCACGTTACCTTAGAAGTCGACTACATCATAATCACCTTAACACAGCAAATGATTTCCTCACTATATATAGACGTTACATCACCTCATACAGTCTTTCCAACAAAATCACACATTACATCATCACAACATTACTTTTCTTAGTCAAGGGCCATTAAAGGGCATCATGCTGAAATGATGCGTCTTACTTAAAGCAGCTCAAATATTTCCTGGTTGAAACTGTTTGAGAATAGATGGAGCAACAAGTAGAAGAGCAGCAACACAGTGGATTTATTATGGACGGAGGAGCAGTGCAGCGAGAATGCAACAGTTGGAAAATTGGTACATTTCCTGGAGGATCGTCCAGAGTTTCATCTACGGCCCACATGTGAAAATATTACAACTGTACAGGCAACAGTGACATTTACCTTACCCAACTAAACAGTATGAGGAACTGAGCATAGGAGCAAACAACAATTTGGTCTCGACTTTCTGCCAGAAGTTTCCTTTTTATTTTGACTTCTTAATAACTGGATCAACGATCTTCTGTCCGGTGAGGAAGTTCCACACGCCGCCTCGGTAGAACTCGTTTCCAAACGAGTAGAGGAGAGCGTTGAAGATTGGATTTGTCTTCGCAACAACTGGAAGAATCTGAGAGAGGAAACAAGTACGTCCATCATTAAATGAATTAAATAAGAGTCTAGGTTTATTACAATCTGGGGCTTATTTTTTACGACGATGCTGAAACAAAGTCCACACAGAGCAAGACACACAAGGGGTCAAATGATCAGACAGGCTGTAAACACACAAACAGTTCAGCCTTTTAAAAAACTCTAAACTAGTTCATTTTAAAACTACATACGTTGATCGTATCTCATCAAAACAAAAACAATCGCTCACCATTCGCAGCTTCGGAGACACGACCTTCACGTTCTCGAAGCAGGCGTAGATACACATGAGGACGTAGGGGCCCCAGCACATCAGCATGACCCTCAATGGCAAACTGGTGTTGAACTAGAAAAACAAAAAGTTTGGTGTGTGAAGATGTTGCATCATAAAGTTCACTCGTGACCAGGGTGTTCTCATCGTCTCGCCCAGTTTCAGCTTGGATGGGCCCCCCCCACGACCCTCAAAGCATAAGCGCTATAGATGATGGATGGATGGATTTACCCTGTGGTGATGGATCTTCTTGAAGTGTTTGTGGGTGGCATCGTAACATGACCACATGGTGAAAGCTGGGAACATCAGGTAGAGCAGCACCAGGGTTAACATGTAGGTCACATAGTCTCTGTGGAAAAGATAAAAATAGGACATTTAATGGAAGATTGTGAATGATTGTCAAAACAAAACGTTTCTCGGAGCATTTCTAGACCAGAAAGACAGAGACTTTCTTTATTTCCTGTAACTCCACCTGTCTCCTCTGGTGTAGTCCAACGTGCAGCAAGTTCTCATTGGCTCAAAGTCATAGACCCCCCATCCCATCAGAGGGACAGCGGCCCAGAAGATGGAGAGAATCCAGATAATTCCACTCATGGTCAGAGTCGTGCTCCAGAACAGCTTCTGTCCTACAGAAAGAAAACACACATGATGGTTGTTGATTATAATCACCTCTGTCAAGGAGGTTGTGTTATTAATGTGCATAATCATTGATTTGGGTTTACTGGTGTTTTGATGGTGAATATTTAATTTTCAAACTTAAGATATACATCTTAGAAGTCAGGACTCTATGTGCAGGTCTTACCACTATAGCAGTACCACTTTCTATGCTACTTTTTCTTTCTTCACGGAGTATAACTGATTTCAAACATGACATGTTTTGATGTATTTTCACATTTTGACCCTGTATGTGTACTACTGGTAGTACTGCTGAGGTTTTGTACTCACTGGTGCAGTACTGGTGATATCTGTCCCAAGCGATGGCAGCCATGAAACTGATGGAGGCCAGGACCGATATCATCCCCTGGAAACCGTGATAGCCACATCCATCTTGACCAAATGGCCAGTATCTAGAGAAGACAACAAAACATTTGTCATACTCCAGTTTTATTCTATGAACACGACAGGCTGAAAATGCTGATGCCCATTTGGGAACCACGTGAGAAAACCACGTAAAGAAAATATTTAATATAAATTAAAAATCAAAAACTTTACTTAAATGTGGCTTTAATTTCTGTTCCACATAGTAACAACACCCTGTTAGGTAACTATCATTCCTGCAAAATGTGAACTTTCCACACTGAATAAAGTGGATTGTGGTTTGGATTATGAAACTGAGGAGCTTATTCAGCTTGTGATACTCAGTGGCTGATATCAAACACTGAGCCTTTTTTTTGGTGGGGGGGGTTACTTCGGGAAAACTAAGTAACATGAAAGTAAAAAGTGCCTGTTGAGGGAAAACTGAAGGAAATCTGATACCTGAGGTAGCTGGAGTACGCAGCCGTGAGTCCGTTGATATTCAGACACAGGTCGGCCACGGCAAGATTAAAGACAAAGAAGTTACTGGGATTCCTCATCTCCTTCACAGTGAGGAAAGACACGATGCTGATGGCGTTCAGGAAGAAGCCGAGCATCCCTGAAAGAAGAAAAAGAGATTTAATCTTTTATCAAGTTTAACTCCATTTATGAAACTGTACACCACATCAAGTATCGTATAAAACAACGTTCCTATAAACAGCTAAAGGCAGGACAATAAAACAATATCAATAATTATTGCAGTAGGATAATGTTCTTCAACAGCCATATAACAAAGGTTTAATATACTTCAATGTATTCCTTCTACATTGTGTAAGCACAGTGAGGAGGTGTAACACTAATCTGCTCATAAAGACAAGTTTGACAAAACATGTGTATTTCTGTATTTCTGAAAAGCACACTGTAACTGTGTTTTGAAAGGTGCTATATTAGTGAAGTTTATTATCACTGTGATTTATCGTGATGATTATTGATATCGACTTCTTGATTCATTCATCATTACTGACCACATCGTCCAGCACTAACTCAGGGTTCAGCAGTGATTACAAATAAATAAATAGTACTGAAGAAGTTATAGTCTTTACATTTAGAGTTAATGAAAAATAAATGCATGCATGGTTTAGATGATCATACTTTTAGATGCTTTTATTAAATGTGCCTGTCTCTGTTTCCTATTCTTTACCTTTTTTCATTTTATCCCGTAAAGCACATTGTAACTGTTTTAAAAGGTGTTATATAAATACAGTTTATTACTATTAACTTCTTTATTGATGTATAATTTTGGACCTCATCACCTCAGGGTGCAGCAGTGATTAAAACACATGACAATAGAACTTATGAAGTTAAACTCTTGGCATTAAGAGTTAACGATGCATGGTTCAGATGGAAGATATTTTCACTATAGGAACACTTGTATTCCGGGTGTTCTGTCTCTTTAACGTGTGCAGACATGTCTTCCTGTTTGCAGGCTCCACTCACCTCCGACCAGAAGCGCTGAGCCGAATGTAAACATGTCAAACTCCGTGAAACCCTCCGGTAACGTAAACGCAGCCATGACGAGACGCACAAGTTCATCCAAACTTTGCACAAAAGTCCTTGAAGTTTTTGGCGCAGACGCGTCTCCAGCAGAGCGTCGCCTTTATAAAGGCTCTTTCACGTGAAACAACACAAAGACGCTAATCTCGGTAAAAGCCCCTTCAACAATCCCCAGAAGAATTTCCTAACGAGCACAGACCTCCTGCACACTTCAGCAACTAAGTTCCCGAGCGAAGCAAGTTTGCTGCGCAGAGGTTTGATCTGAAAGTTTGTCGAGTGTTTTCAAACGTCAGATGAACAATCTGACGTTTGAAAACAAGACGCGAAGTTTCCTGCAACTCTTTCTCCTCATTCAGCTGCTGTGTTTGATAAGAGAGCAGAGTGGGAACATGGGAAATGTTGTTCTTTAGGCTCAGCAGTGAAAGGGCCAGAAACATCCACCAAGACATCACACACTCAAGACCGCTGTGCATTGATTCACTTATTTTACCAAAGAAACTGTATTTGCTTGAATGTCTAGAGATTGAATAATAAGATACGATTGAATAAAAACACATCTGCTTCAGTGTTATGAAAGGAAATGTTTCACTGAAGCATATCATTCCTGGTTTGATCATAAAAATGCAGCCGACATTTTGTCTTTATGCAACCTGGACTTTGTGTGTCTGTGGACACCATGGATGTGAGAGAGCTAAAGTCATGAACTGAAACACAAACTTACACAACACAACACAACAGTATCTGTTCTTGCTCAAGAAACTCAAGACTTTTAAAGTTAAGAAGAACATTTAATATTTCAAGCTGTTTGCAAAAGTTACATCACAGAACAATCAAAACCAAACCAAAACTTTCTTGGATCATTTTTGGATCTTTAAGCAGAATATCACTCAGTAGAGCACCTGCCTCCACCAAGGCCCCAACTGAAACCACATGTAAATTCAATAATTCAGATTTTTATTTGATTTTAAACTGTACATGTTTAGAAATATCAATTCCCTATACATGCCTGATTTAAAAAAAATCTAGATCCATTAATGATTCTCTAGGAAATTTAAAATATTGCAAATTCCCCTATTCCCTGACCCATGTCCCATCCTTCCACCAAGTTTCGAGGAAATCCATTTGATTGTTTTTGTGTAAAATGACCCTCCACTTCCAATATCATGCAATTACAATTACTCCAATTGGTTCTACATCTTTTCTTTAAACCCTATATATGTTTTACATTTAATCTTCTTCTAACTTTTAAATTTCTATTTCATGATGAAAGCGTAAAATAATTTGTATTAATTGACTCATTTCCTTGTCTTAAACTCTCGATCACAACCGCCCTTAGAAATGAGGACACTGGAAATATGACCTTTGGCTCTCGCTGCAGCCCGAAGCTTTTAAAATGCAGCATTTGGGCAGAGTCTGATTGCTCCACTAATCTGTGCACAGATTACCACAAACTCATTAACTATGGAGTAATGATGTGTCCCAATGGACTTATAATACCCTTTTCTCAAACTGCCCATATTGTCCTGACTAAAAGCTCAGCGTCCCATCCACTTACATGCTTCCTCACATCAGGAAAAAAAGAGCGGCAACGTCAACGCTCATCACTGCATCTGCTGCTCAGACACACGGGACTCATGTGACAGCGGAGACATCGCAGATAAATGGACAGTTTGCAGCGTGTGATTTCGTACATCAGCGTCGTGTTTGTCCGCTGCTCTAAATCCCAACAAGAGGCCTGTTGGTCAGAGGCTGAGGGAGCATGTGTGAGGTCAAGCAGCGACACAAAAGAGCAGAGTGCCATAGTTTCACAATGCAAATGATTCAATAAAAACTGTGTGTGTTAATCTACTGCAGCTGATTGTGACGAAATAAGAGCCGAGCTGAACCGACAGGAGCGAGAACATGAGCCCAGTGGATTGACCAACTGGGAGAAACTGTGATCTATACCCTTTGTTGTGTTTCTATAACCTCCACCATGCTCACGTCACAAGTTGTCAACGTTTGCCTGTTGAAAATCACAGTGAGGCATATTCTTTCCCTCTGTCTGGTCTAATGCCTCTTATAGGAAGACATACTATTTGTCCTTTGCAAAAACAGGGACAACACAACCTCAACTCATTGTAAGAAATCTGGATTGACTGGTGTCGTCTGGGAATGAGAGTTTTTGTTTGTCGGACCCAAATCTTTATCTGTAATATGTTTTTAATCAAAGCCTCAAACCTTTGTAGTGGCTTCACGTTGGTTTTTCTGTCAAATAGTTAATTACATCATTATAATCTGCTGCTCTTGCAACAGAACAAAGGTTTCACTGTTGAAACTGTACTCGCACAAACAGACTGAGGAACAGGAAGAAGATGAACTGACACTAACGTCTTTGTTCTTGTTAAAGGATCAAATGATGAGCGCGAGTGGATGAGAAGTAATCGAGTACTTCTACTCCACTACAGTTTTGGGCAACATATTTGGAGACAAGATAAATAAATAAATTAAAGATACATTTCAAATTGTTTTTGATAATAATAGTTAAGGCCATTCTTCAATAGGAGAACATAAAATCTTGCAAATACTTTTACTAATACTTTAGTTGTATTAAAAATATCTTTTTTTTTTACATGTTGTACCTTGAGGCAAAAGATCAGTTCCTTCCCAGTCCCTGATCCAAAGACGTGTCTCTCTTGAGATCAAATGGGTAAGAGGGAGGCAGGAAGAAGTGCATGTTGGGAGTTTTTTTTCCCTCTGGTCCTGCACTGAGCGCCATGTATTAATAAGAGACAGAGACATGACTGGATTAAAGGATTTGAAATCCTGCTGGACAGCCACGTCTTTAAACCTCTGCACCTTTAGAAAAACCCTGAGACACGGTGACAGCATGTCTGTCAGCTGCAAAGTGTGTCGCACTACAATCACACATTCACAGGAAAAATCTAAGATGAGATCATCGTCTATTGGTCAAAATGTAAACATGTATACACAGGATACTGCTGTAAGTTATTATGACATCATGTCACATCTTTAGATCTGATTGTCCCAGTTTTTTATTTCCTCTGAGAAATGTGAATTTATGTTTGAATAAAAAATGATACAAATAAAAGGAGAAATAGTGAAAATAAATCTGAATTTAAATCCAGTGATCACCTGGATGGGCTGACATGTTGCAGTACTTCATTTGGTTTGAGGTTTGAGTCCAATAACATGAATGTGAGTGACTCGCTGCCATCTGGTGGTCATTAGTTGGAAGAATCTGTAGCTATCATGCAAACTACAACATGTCTGTCAACATATTAAACATTTTCGTGGACCACATAAGAAAATAAACCAAGTTTGATCTGTAATGAGGAGAAAACTTTGTAAAACCCATGTGCAGCTGTATGACAGCCATGTGCTTTCATATTTTGAGGTTGGAGGTTTATCACTTTTAGAATGTTGACTCTAATATACACTATATATGACGAGTGATGAGCAAAAAATGATGTGATGATTTGTCAAAAAAGGCAAAAAAAGATGTTTGAAATTGTTGAAGAGGTATCACATTTTCTTTTTCTAAAGTCAAATTTTAAATATGCCTGATATTTCTATTACCTTTATCTCTGCATGTGAGTTGCCTCCATAATAAAACATCCAATCAACTATTGCAAAGAAATGCCTCCTGAATAAAAGTGAAAATTATGCAGCCTATCAGCTTCCAGGAAGCAATAGTCTAATCGTGTGAATGAAAATAACCCAAGTCCTTCGCTAATCCCTGCCTATCCTTTTTATCTGAGGATTCAGACCAGTGGCAGCAGTATGGAGCTGTGAGCCTGCAGAACAACAGCGATGCCTCTGATGTCCTGTTAGATCGAGTTTGCAGCTCCTATTCAATCTGTAGTTTAGTTGCATAGCCTTTAGTAACTTGCTGCAGAAACATGAGTCGACATTTTACTGTTGCTTTTTGTTTGGCTTTTGTTTTTCTTCCTGTGTTGGGTAGTTCATGTCCTGCACAGTGCAGCTGCTTCTTCCACAAATTAAGTGACGGATCAAAAGCAAGGTAATTGCAATTATTCATTTGTATTTTTTGGATTTTATTCCCAGAACATGCTTTTATTGTTTTCTTGTGTGCAGAATAGATTTTTTACTGCAGTTTTCTTCCATTCACTCACTCAGTGTAGTGGAGGATTAACTTGGGACTGCTCTTTAATCTCCTTTGCTTGTTACTGAACAATAGGCCACTACGTTCTTTTAAATTAGAGGCTGAACTATGTTAGAACATATTTTATGCTTGTTTCTCACTCATTCAGACTCATGCAATGTGAGAGTAGAAAGCACTGGGTTTCACATAAATAATAATAATTGTATTATTTTTTCTTGCAGGAGCGTGCTTTGCAATGATCCAGAAATCACTGTGGTCCCTCCAAATTTCCCCACCGACACATCCAAGCTGCGCATCGAGAAAACTGCGATTACGAGGATTTCTAGCAACAACTTCCACTACCTCAACAACCTGGAATTTCTCTGGATGTCGTTCAATTCACTGAATTCGCTGAATGTTGACAGTTTCCGAGGTCTTTACAACCTGGACGAGCTCAGGCTGGATGGAAACGCCCTCACCTCCTTCCCCTGGGAGTCTCTGACCGACACACCGAGCCTGAGGCTGCTTGACTTACACAACAACAAGATTTCCAGCATCCCTGCTGAAGCCACCATGTACATCAAGAATATCACCTATCTGGACTTATCCAGCAACAGCCTGTTGACTGTCCCCGCTGATGTCCTCACAATGTGGCTCAGCGTGAAGCCGCCCCAGGACACAGATTCCTCTAAACTAATTCTCGGTGAGGAACAAGCTTTGACAAATTAAGATACTGTAAAGTATTCTTTTTAAGCTGCCTTGCACGATGAGCACTTCTTTGACACCATGAACCCTTTTAGGGATTAGTCTAATAATAGTTATTGTGTGCACTGTCAAGTTGTCGGACTTATTCTATTAATCACAACTTACACCCACAAAGTCTTAGTGTTAAAATGACTTGGTGATGTTGTGTGAAGGAAATCTTCAGGATAGATGGAGAAGTTCACACTATGTTTTCTTTACAGGGCTTCATGACAACCCTTGGACGTGTGACTGCCGCCTGTACGATCTGGTCCAGTTTCAGAAGTCCCCATCATCGTCAGTGGCTCTTATTGACCCCAGGCTGAGGTGTGCCGATCCAGAGAGCCTATCGGGGGTTCTTTTCACCGAGGCGGAGCTGCAGCGGTGCCAGGGCCCCCGGGTACACACAGCCGTGGCTCGTGTTCGGAGCTCACTGGGCAACAATGTCCTGCTCCGCTGTGGCACAATCGGAGTCCCCATCCCTGAGCTGTCCTGGAGCCGCGCTGATGGCAAGAAAATGAACGGCAC